CGATTGATGATGTAATGAAAGATTGTGTGATAATATATCAATCGTTAGTCAACTCAAAATGGCTTGCCACGGAACGTGTTAACCGAAGGCTAGATATCAGGATAGTCCTCGTTTCGAGGCTCTCGAGAATGGGCCAGGACGTTCGAATTACGTTGAAAGTGAATCTCGATTCTTCGGACCGATCGCACGGATCGTTGTTACCTAAGCCGCTTCCTGTGACTCGGTCGTCCGCTCGGGTTTACGTAGTCTGCCTTTCCTTCGATATTGATGTGGCACGCGTCTGTTCGGCCCTCTCGTTCTTCCTGTCGGGCCTAATCTCTGGTACTGATAGTTCGGATAATAACGTTGACTCTGCTGCTGTTGCGAGTACGGGTACTGAACGTTGCCGATCTGCTCCCTCTGACCGTTCGGCGTGAATGGCCTCGGCACTCTGCCGACGTCCTGGCCGACGTTGTCCTCGGTAACGCGGCGTCGAACGCACACCGCGCAACGACTAACCCGCGACGTGTGATCGGTTTTCAGCGTCTGTGGTATCGGCCTGCGGAACATGTCGCCGTCCTTGATGATGGTCAGCCAGAAGGACGTGGCAGTGGAGTAGTAGTTGCACGTGCCGAAGCCGTGGCACTCGATGAACGGTCTCACGCGGAATTCCTCCAGGCAGGAACCGGGTGAAACCAACGACTGGCCGTATCCGCGTCCGCCTGCGTCTCGATGCTGGAAATTCGCCAGGCTTTGTTTCTTTCTTTTCTATCTAACCGCACTCCGAATTACACAGATTTTAGTCCAGATATCATATTCATCTCTTTGCACTATAAATCGACCCCTTTTTTTTTTGCAAATTTTCGTCCCCTCGCAAGAGCAAGACATTGTTGTGGGAAATCCAGTATGCGCGCATGTGATTGAAAAATAACAAGTGATAGAAAATAAACGTAAAATACTCTTTTAATACCGAAGGTATTGAATTAAATTACTATAATAATTGTAACAATCTGTAGGAGTGACAGAAAGAACACTAAATTAGCTAAAATATTGTACAACGTATCGACTTTCGAGTGCTAGCTCACAAGTAATTAACACTGGAGCTACGGAAATTTAGAATTTTTTCGTGGAAAGATGAATATATGTATAAATGAAAAATGAATATTTCTATATATTTAAAAGGTCTGTGTTTCGCAGAGACTCGTGCGAGCTTTTGCTCTTGCATTGCGTACATTTTCATTTCTCTGCTGCAAATTTTACGCTTGCGATCGTTAAATCGCGAAAAAAGAAGAACAAAATTATATATTCGCTTCGTTTAATTTTTGAGTAAGTTTCTACCCGTGAAGGTGAAGCTCGAAAAAAGGGTAAACTTGGAGTGCAAATGAGAGAACGAGGAGTCGTGATGAATTACCATGAGGAAGCTGTATCCGATCCAAAGTTCTTCCCAACCACCGGGACACTCTGGTATAGCCATAGATTGACTGTGCACGGCGATCACGCGAGTCGAGGCCTCGCAGACGGAGCATCTCGAGAGGTATCTTCCGACTTCCGGCGCCGGTATCGGCGCCATCGACATCGGCATTGGTTCCGTCGTGCTCAACCAGTAGCTGTAGTCGTTTTTATTCGCGTAGTCGCACACGTTTTGCAACGTGCAGAATGTGAAAGGCATGGTGGAGAATTTCCTGAGGCAGCTTCCGGCCGTGCCTGAAATCGATGAACGTCATCCGCATTGTATGGCGACTCTTCTCCGCTCGAAAGTACACTTTCACTCATTATTAATGTTCGTTGTGTATATTTTACAACACACAATCACAATATAATAATAGAATACACATGTACAATATATAATAATATATTAATATATTAATATATTAACAAGAGTCTTTATTGTACAAAGTATTTATACTATTTAATTATATGCATTATAGTCACTGTGAATACAACAATTTATGTTTTATATTGCGTATTGCGTGTGTAATTTGTTATTGTATTTTGTCGCACGGTAAATGTAAATTTATAATTTACAAGTAGTAAATATAAATTTGTAATTTACATTTATCAGCATCTTGTTCCAAGATTTCTTAACACGTCACGATACTAATTACTTCGTAATTCATTTAATTGCAAGATATATTCGAATTATTGGGGAATTTTTCCGATCGCTTAATCCCTTTCTTACCGAGATCCTGCCCGAAAGAATATCCTTCGCCCATTATATGCAAAAACGAGAAACCGTCCCAAAGTTTCACCGTGTTCTTCGGGCACACTGGTATCATTTCGGATTGCGAGTGTCGGGCGAAGAAGAAACCTCTGCTTCGAGGTCCTGGCGCTGGTGGTGCCGGAGCCCCTCGTAATCCAGGTGGTCCTGCGAATTCGAAATTTCGTCGTGTTTAACGACATTGTTGACCGAGTTAACCATTTTTGATATTCGCCAGACTATTGTGAAATCTTTCTTCGCTCTGTTCACTTTATTATAAGAAGGAAAATTATTTTTATCGATACTTAGGCATTTATCGCAATTTTAGAAGAAACAGTCACTGGTTTAAAAAACAAAAAAAAAGATCCAACTAGGACGTGCAGAGCATGCTGTTTAACACGTTCCGTGGTAAGCCATTTTTGCCTTCGTTCAGGCCATTTGATATTTTGACTAAAGGTTGATATATTATCACACAACAGGCCATTTGATATTTTGACTAAAGATTGATATATTATCACACAATCTTTCATC